TTTGAATTGGGTTCAATTTCAACCCATCAAGCCTAACCCATTTGAAGAGAATCCTCAATTGAGCCCAATTTAATCTCCAATTTCAATCCGTTTTAAAACTTTTTATTAAGATATGTTCTTATATTAAACGTATGAATTATTATCTATTCTATCATCTTTTACGATTTATCTATTCATTTATTACTTTTTAAACAAAAATTCTTGAGTGGAAATTCAAATTTTGATTATAAAAGTTAAATATCAATATGTTAAATTATTGAGATTAATCGGGTCAAATTTGGTGGGTCAAGACCCAACCCGTTTTTTAGCCTATTTAAGCTTTAGTAAATTTTGGGCGGGTCAAGACCCAACCCAATCTCTATTTGAACTCATTTTAATATCTCCTATTTCAACCCAACCCGCTCATTTGACACCACTAGTCATGGGTAATAAATTCTTGTAAATAAATTAAAAAATGGGGAAAGGGTCTGTAATTAGGGGTGCAAAAACCGAACAAACCAATAAATCGAACCGATAAAATGTTATTGGGTTATTGTTATTTGGTAATTGGGTTTTTAATGGGTTTAGAAAAAATAATTATTGGGTTATTGAGTCAGTTTGGTTTTCCTATTGGGTTATTGGGTAAACCGATAACCCAATAAGAAGATAGTTATTTACTACTTTACCCTTCCTCAATATTAAATATACATAATTTAATACATAAATAGATTCAATATTAGTTTTTCAGGCTATGTGATTTTTTGGTTAGGAAATTGGTGAGAACTTTGTTGATTATCTGGTGGAGCAAGCAACTTTTCAAGATTGTCTCATTGAAATATTTTATTTTAGTTTTAATTCTAGTTCGTAATTGTAGACGATAGTTTTTGCAAGTTTGTGAACTTTAGTAATTTGATCAATATTTAAAGTTTTCTATTATGTTTTGGCGGTAAGTTGGTAACATGTAATTATAACATACGTACTATTATATATTATTTGATTGATATTTTCTTATTGGGTTAACCGAAATCGAACCGATAACATCAAAAACCGATAAACCGATAAAAAATTTCTTATTAGTTTGTTATTGGGTTAGCATATTTTAAAATCGAAAACCGATAAATCGAACCGATTATATGTAAAACCGAACCAAACCGACCGATGCACACCTCTATCTGTAATATACTTCAACTTTGGCTAAAATTGTTGTTACGATATAAAATTTTATGGGGACCTTTTATCCGCCTGCATGATTTAATAGTGTATTTTAATAGTATATATGTGCCACATGAACAAAGTACTATTTAGGCAAAAATATTCATTATTCCCAGAACTTAAAGTTTTTTATTCGGTGTACACTTAAACTTTATTGTGTTTGAATTACCCCCCCCCCCCCCCCCCAATCCCCCAAACTTGTTTATTCATCCAACACGTGCACCTTTTCTGTCCACCTGGCGTAAAAATTGAAATCACACTCTACTAGGCGCGTGAGGGAGTGATTTTTGCCACGTCATAAAGCTACAACAATAAAAAAATGTAAAATCTCTATTTTTTTAAATATTGACCGGCCGCAGACGCGTCATCGTCATCATTATCGAAGCCCAAGGGCCAGTTCTTCGGGTAGCAGTGTTGTTTCTCATTGTTGAAAATGAATAAGGATTTTGATTTAGCTGATTGAGCTAGGTGAGATGAGACGGAGTGTTATGTGAGCTGGAAAAAATCGTGTTGCTTTGCGGCGGAAAGGAGTTTAGAGTGAAGAATTGAATTTGCATCGAAAAGAGAGATGAGAAGAGGAGATACGATGGTTGGTGGTGGAGATTGACGGCGGCCCTGAAAGGAGTTGGAATATGATATTTATTTTTTGTCATTTTAATTTATATAGGTGGCTATTATTTATCCAGGTGGAAATTCATATCATCACTATTTTTGCCAGCTGACGCTCGTGTGTAGTCACACTAGGAGCAAAAGACAAAAAGGTGTACGTGATAGTGGAATAAACAAGTTTGAGGGAGTAATTAAAATAGAATATAGTTTAAGTGTACACCAAATAAAAAGCTTCAAGTTCAGGGGGGTGATGAATACTTTAGCCTGCTATAATGATGCAATCTTTATGATGTCCATGTTGACACATATGTACCTTTAAAATAAGCTATTAAATAGTAGAGAGGGGTAAAAAGTCCTTCCAAAGTTTAATATTGTTATAACAATTTTCGATAAAAATTTGAATCTATTTTAGACTTTTTTCCCTTAAAATAAAGAGAAAAATTACTTATAATATATATATAAAAAAATCATTATCATTTCATGATTAGAAATTAGACAAACAAATGAAAAAAAATTCTGGCGAATTTTTGTTGTAAAGGTTCCTCCATTAATAAAATATATTTTTTATAATAAATTAAGTAATTTACTTTATAATACAATAACTAATTTGAATAAAAAAAACTAGAAAAGGAGAAAAAAAGATAAATTATGCATGTCCTTTATTATAAGTGAGACAAATAAATTAAAAAAAGATGAATGTGAAGAGTTTTTATTATAAATGTTGTTCCATAAATAAAATATTTATCTATAATAAATTAAATAATTCATCTTTACACTATAATATTAATTTAAATGTTTAGCAAAAGTAAAAAAAAAAAAAGATAAAATGCAAATGGAGGCCATAGACAGATGTCACATAACCTTTTTCTATGTTTCTTTCTTTATTATATATAAATATAGATATAGATTTTGTAACTAAATAAGGACTTAAAGGGTACTAAAAATTTGTCCCAAAATTATTTTTATTTATCCATCACACCACGTGCTAAGTATACAGAAACCTTATAGAATATTAGTTGAGTTATTATTTAAAGGGAAAAGGCTCAAATATGTCATTAAACTTTCAGAAAAGGTTCATTTATGTCATTCATTAAAAGTTTGACTCATCTATGTCATTTCCGTTCAAGAAAAGGCTCATTCATGCCATTATTTTTTAACAGTTGTTTTGCAAATTTTTGACACGTGACCTATTGTAATTCGGTCATGTCATCAATTTTTTAATTAAAAAATTATAATTTTGGAAAAAAATTGAACTAATTTTTTTTATTTAAAAATTGATGATGTGGCCGAATTATAATTGACGATGTCACAATGTTTTTAATAAAAAAATCAAAATTCTGAATAAAAATTGAATTAATTTTTTTTATTAAAAAAATTGATGATGTGGCCGAAATTGGCCATGTGTCAAAAATGGTTTTGCAAAATCACTATTAATTCTTTAACAGTAATGTAATAAATGAGTCAAACTTTTGACTGACATAAATAAGTCTTTTCTAAAAATTTAAGGGGAAATTGTATATAATAACAAACTAATAACCTAAAATAAATGGAATAGCTAGGGTTTGATTTAATTGTGCTCCATAGCAAACGTTAGCTAAAATTTGCCATCGTCTCTCTCCCAGAAATCTCGCTCGCCAGTCTCCGTTCTCGCTCGCTCTCTCGCTTTATACACAGAAGTGTATAATTCTGTTTCTGTTTTGTATAAAGCGAGAGAAAATTGTATATACACATGCAAAAATATATATCTTCGTGTTATACACTTAATTATACAATTTACAAACATTTTACTTCAAATATTGCAGAGAAAAAGGTCAACGAATTATACAATTGCGAATTGTACAATTGCAGTGAAATAAAATTTTCTCTAGCTTTATACAACAGAAGTGTATATATTGTGTTTCTGTTTTTGTATAAAGCGAGAGAAAAACATATATCTTCTTGCTATACACTTAATATTGCAGCGAAATAGGTAGTGAATTATACAATTGCAGTGAAATAGGATAGCGAATTATACAATTGCAGTGAAATAGGCCAGCTAATTATACAATTTAGGCCAGCAAATTATACACTTGTATATGTATAGCGAATTCTACAGTTTTATGTTTGCTACGGAACGCAATTATGCAAAGTTTGCTATAGTATACAAATATAAATTTTTTGTTTGCTATATGTGAAAGTTGCCCAAAATTTAATGACATTTGAGCCTTTTCCCTTATTTAAACTAGTCAGGTATATCAGCAACCCCCTACAAAGCCACATCGTTTTGTTTGTGATTGCGGTTATCTGTGTATCTTTATATGCTTGATGAAAATAGTCTTAAATCTCCTTTTTCTTTTTAGTATTTAAGCGAAGGTAATTTGTCAAATAAACCAGTGTGGCCAGAGATGGGATGTAAACCACACAAATAGCAACTTAGCAAACATTTTTTTTATGATTATGGTACCCGAATCAACTTTACTGTATCTTTAGCTAATTTCACGGAATAGGTATCCAAACCAACTTTACCGTATCTTTAGCTAATTTCACGGAATAACTACCATCTCCCACTAGCAACATGTAACTCTATCATCAAGGTAGACAAAACAAGTTACAGATTACGAGCCTGTTTGGCTCAGCTTAAAAGCTGGTCAACTGACTTAAAAGCTGGTTTTTGACTTATTTAGCTGTTTAACAATACTCAAAACAGCTTATTTTAAGTTTAAAAAAAAACTTATTTTAAGCCAAAAGTTAAAAGCTGGGGTAGGGGTGCTTTTTTTTTTTTAGCTTATAAGCTGTTTTAAATTGACCACATTTTTATCTTTTTGTGCTTAATATTTTTATACAATCTCCAAATTACCCATATAACCCTAACATTTCTTTCTTCCATTTTTCCCTTTTCACGTTTGACATAACAACTTCAGCACTTTTATCCAAACGCATAACTGCTTATTTTAAAAATAAGTTTCAGCACTTTTAAAAGTACTTTTTTAAAGCTGCTTTTATTAAGCCCATCCAAACGGGCCCTACAACAATTCATCATCATAAATTAGCTGATTTTATATAAATGGTCAACCTACCACAATCATGCTCTCAATATATTTAAAAAGCCCAAAAAACACAAAAAAGACAAGAAGATATCTTGATCCATGGAGCTTGAAATCAGAAGTGGAACACACTTATTTCAAGTTAAGCACAAAATATCAAAAAGTACACAACATATCTGAATTTCTACAAACGAAGGGAATCATTTCCCTTCTTTCAGAAAGTTTATTGTCAACACTTCCAAGGTAACCAAACATTTTAGAGAATAGTTTAAACAAGAAAACAAGTTTTCATAAAATATTTCTTTCGTACGAACACGCCTTAAAAGAAAAATAGCATGAATATTAACTATAGGAGAATGGAGAAAGGAAGAATATACATTAACCCTATTACTGTACACACATAAGGTTGCATGGTACCATATACACAAGTACATGAAGAATGCCTAGCAGTTGGTTATTAGGAACTAAGGGTCAGCAGGTTCACCACCACAAAATGCATCTGGTTCAAATGATCTTGCAGACTCATCATCGTAGACTCCTGGTACAGATCTACCACCAGCTTCTTCTGATGGTATATAACTATCCTTTTGGCCATTCTCAATATTGACAAAAACAACTACACACACAAGCAAAGATGTTGCAAGAACCACCAAGGTGTTCTTTAATCTACTCAGGACAGGCTTCACCTGCATGGTAGGCCAGAAAGAGTAGTCACTTCACAATTCAATCAGTTTGCACTAAGCAAGATGTCCATCCCACTAGAACAAATTCAATCGTTGCCAGCTTAGAAGCATCTTTCTTCATTTAATTATAGGAACTATGAGTAATTTGTGTCTTTTTTATTGAGCTGTGATGAATCGTATAGGGTATGGAAATTTCATAGTGTGGGCTTGGCAATGCATGGAACAAGATCTGCTGATTCAATTACTAAGATTTGCCATCTTACAAGAAGATGCAATAATCTAAGTCCATTAGAAAAATCTGCGCTACACAACTAATGCAGAATCGTATTTCAGTCAACCTTGTTCAGTAAATAAAAGCCCTAGACCAATTTACTCAGACTTAGAATATCTTTTGTTCAGCAAAGAAATTGTACCATAATGTTGCCAGTCTCAAAAAATTATACCATAATGTTGTTGCTCACCAAAACAGTTAAACCAACAACTTGACCAAGTTTAAATTACTTACAGAAAAAGAACCCAAAAGGCGGTCCCGTGCCAAAACTTCAGGAGTCTTCACCCATATCTGCAATGAAGAATTTCCTTTTCAATACTGAAGGACGTGGAAATATTTTCATCAGAAATTAGCTAAAGACTAAATTATTGATACTAGCAGATTACATGCATGAAATCAGCATTTAGCCTAAAAGCTTATTTTCCTTCACCCATATCTCATATCTACAAGGAAAATCTCCAAGTACCAAAGGATGTGGAGAACTTTTCATCCAAAAAAAGCTAAACATAAGCAAATTCTACGATGAAATCAGAATTTAGCCTAAGCTATATTATTCCATTCAATTCAAGGTAATCGTTTCTGCAGTATTTCCTCACCCTAAACAATAAACTCCATGGGAAGTTTGGCAACATATGTACAACAGATCTGCAATATCGGCTTCACTATAATCTGAATATGAAAAAAGAGTGCTCACAGAGAATATCATCACTGACCATCCAGGGGCGAATTTATAGGTAAAATATGGGGCACATGAAGCGTGGTCTCTCCGTAAAATTAGGTATTCTATGTATATATTTTCGAAATTTGGTATAATATTATCTGCTAGCACTCATGCTACAAGAAGGCTAAATGGTGCACTTGGTTGAATGTTTGAGTTATTTAACTAGAGGACTAAAGGATTAGTTCTCACTTAATACATTTTTTCCTTTATTTAGTGGTGCCATGTTTTAGAAATCTTAGATTGAACTCTGCGACCATCTAGGCAATCGTAGTTCTAATGTAAGTGCTGTACAGTAAAATATGAAAAAGTTATTAGACTAACACTTTCCTGCTTATTATATTCATCTTTATTAGTTGATTGCCACCTTAGACTTCTGCAACATTTCTCTCTTTTTACTGATCATGTGATGTCCTTTGGATTATCAAATTACTCTTCCAGTCAACGGTGCTATTTTCTTTTAATAACACTCTTTTAAAATGACCGACTGTTTGACTTCATATTTCAAAATCACATCATCCGTAATTCTATGCACTATCACTAACTGAAGATAATTAGTCAGTTATCCCAAGGAAAATTAGAAGTTAAAGAACGCAACGACAGCTACAAAATGAAAAAAGGAAGTGAAAAAGAGGTGGAGACAAATAGTTTTGTTTTTATTTCAAGGATAGAAATGTTCTAAGAAAAAAGGATAATTCCCATTTCCCACTAATCATAAACAAATGTAAGTTGAAAATTCACATCTACATGTAACCTTTCTTGTTAACTACCCATTTCCATATCACCTCCATAAAGAAGTGATAGTTCTACATAATGCATTTTACTCGCTGACAACTTCCACATCCATTTGTTCCATTTTCCAAAGAGTGCTTGTTTAAAAGACCAAAGACAATAATCAACGAATTACAAATCCATTTATTTAAAAAAAAAAAAAAGGAAGATAAATCCACCCATTTCTATTAAGCTTCTTTTGCCGTCCATTCAATTAAGTCTTCTCCACTCTTTTCCTTCCCACTGGACATCTTTCATCAACATCATCAAACACGCAGTAATTCAGGACAATGGCATATAATGTATGGAAAATTAGAAAGGATAGTTATTTTGCATCTGTTAATAAATTATGTGTTTCCACCTTTCCAACCTTTTCACTGATCTTACAGTTACAAGCCTCTAGAGATCTACATCTTTAAACTTCCCTTTAACTGCACATCCCAAATACTCTGTGGGTAGTGAGACCACCCCACAACCAACAGCTAGGGAAAATCCTGAGCATTCTGGAGGAGTCCCACTGGAATCAATTCTGACTTCCTTAAGTTGATTTCCAAGCCTGAAAATAGTTCACCGCATTCTAAAGTTCTGAATGGATACCAAATCTTCGACATATACAGATACCCGAGGAACAGAGTATAATTTGAGAATAGGAGGTAAGGCACACAGTTTTACATCCTCCAATGTAACCATTGACCTGAAAGCCTTGCATATATTCTCCTACCTTTACTTGTCAACATCCTACTGTGGGATTTCATAACTAGAAGAATAGCAGAGGGGAGAAGCGGCCCTATCTAAAGGTCCTATTATTTTGAAGAAACTAAGAGGCTCCCATCTCCCTTAGAGATATACAAAATCTAATGTCTCCACTTCAATCCAAATCCACTTCTCAACAAGGGGCATCCTAGATTATTTCTGATTAACCTGATAATAGACCTTCTCTATGCCAGCATACATAGGATCTCAAACATCCATGTAAGGAATTGAATAACTAACTTGTCAGCTGTAAGGGTTGCATCCCAAATTTGTCTTTTCTCCTACAAAAGCATTATGTTTTTCGTAGACAATTTTATCCAAAATCTGGAAGTTCTGAAGGAAAAGCAAGCCTTGTACAACTGTTGAAGTTCAGATGTCTATGGTTTTGGTTTTCTGGTGCAACATTCAAGGTGTACAATATTGTTTGAATGGCAACACTCAGACCAAGAACTAGTTAGCAAAGTGCAGCTGAATGTATCAAAATCAAGACAGTTATTACCACTCCCAGAAAAGATTTGACCTAAACTATGTTGGGGTCTTGGGGACATCTTCTTTGTTGGTTAAAAGGTAAAACAGTTAAGAAGTAGAATTGAAGGGTACACAACCTTTAACTGCTTCACAACACCTCTTCAATCTGATTTGAATTAAATTATAAGGATCAAGAGGCGTTAATGCTTTTGATTTACGATTTAATCCTGCAATGTTGCATATTTCTTAAAAGAATAACATAACTATACTATAATGAATTTGAGGGGTACTACTCGACATGTCAGCAAATAGAAACTGATTAGACAATGAAGCAGTTTTTCCAGTAATCTTCTATATTCATTTAACTCCATTTGAGCATATTTTATTCCGACTAGCACTACTAATTGTAAGCGGCGGAGCAACAGTAAAGTTGTCGACTTGTCTCTATATGACCATGTCATGAATTTGAGCTATGGATTGCTTGAGTCAAGGTGGATGCCTACATTACACCCTCTTGGAATGGCAACCCTTCCCCTAATCCTGCCTGAACACGTAGTTTCTCGAGCACCAGACACATTTAGACATTTAGTAAAACTAATCCTAATAAAAATCAGAATGTTTCACAAAAGTAAAATGCTATCTGAAGCCAAAAGTCAAGTAGCATTCATTAGAGAGTTAGTTCATGGAGTACAATCCCATTAGCTAAAGGTACTAACTTTCCAATCAAATGACAGAAATTGAAGACAACATAAGAATTAGTACCTGGCCATCATACCATCCTGTTTCTTCATCTATCAGCGAGCAAACACAAAAAAAATAAAGTGATTAATTGACATAAAATAATAATCCAACAAGAAAAAGAAAGATGAGTACATTCAACAGTGGCACTAAGCAATCTGTTACCAACATAAGCCCAACCAAGATACATCCTCACAACAGCCAAAGTGACAACAATAAGGCCACCAGAAACAGCACCCAAGAACGGTTTAAGGGGTTCGGGTATGGGTCCAGCCGACCCGAATAAGTTAACAGGAAGACCCACAAAGAGGGCAAAAGCAAGTCCAGTAGCAAATAAACGGGAACAGTACTCAACCAAGTCACCAGAAGCCCATGAAAAAGGGAAAGAATCAGAAAGGGCTTTGAATTCGTTAACAGGCTGCTGGTCAAGTGGAACAGGACACTCAGTTTCTGGTAAAGGGTTGTTATTTCTAAAAGATGAAAAGGGTATTCTTGGAATAAACCTTTGGTTATGAAAATGGTGAGTTTTGAGATATTGAGTTGATGAAGAAGGAAAACAGAGAAGTTGATGATGATTTGGTGAAAATAGAGTTGCCACTGATATGGCCATTTGCATTTGCCCTGTTTTCCTTTAGTTACTTGCTAATAGAATTACAGGGAAGTTTGTACATTTTTGTTACTTCATTATCAAAAATATCTATGGTGATGGTAAATGCAAAAAATATCAAGTGTTAAGAGTGTACTTGGAGTTTAGTATTTCTTTTCTCACTATTTTATACAAAAGTGAAGTGTCACTTTTAATTTTTATTTTGAGTTTTAAATAACGTCCAAATTTCATATCTAAATTATTATTTGAAAAATACACTTCATCTCTTTTATTATAATCTCTTAATAGTGTGTGTACACTCTATATTATTAAAAATATCATGCCACATAAATAAAATATGTTTGCTTATAAGTTATACCTATCTAGATTATGTCCTTCGGAAAGATGTTAAGCATTTAATTGATTCTTGTTAATAGAAGGAGACAACGAGGTAATGGTTAAAGTGTATGGAGATTTTATTTATATTTTTGAGATAGATAGATTGTCTTTGATAGACTCTTGGCTCAAGAAGAAATATTTCAAAGTAGTACGAAAAAAGAAAATAATAGAGAAAAGTGGAGAAGCCATGAAAACAAATACCATTAGAAGCATAATTCTGAACAATAATTGCAACAAATGATATGATTATCGAACTATAAGAAATAACAATTATCTTTCACTAATTATATTCAATTGATGAACTGTGTAATATTAGGACAAAGAAAATAGATTTAAATTGGAGAAAATCAAGTTGAGTTGCACTACTATGTTACAACTCTTATTGAATGCTTGAATTCGTTGAGGTTACATTAAAAAGAGTTTACCTTTGATTCTATAATCTCAAAGTGCAAACTTTATGGTGTATGAAACAATCAAACGTGGCAAAGAGAATAATTGACTAGGAAAAAATTTCAATTGAAATTGGAGACTAAATTCATTTGGCCTTATTATGGTTCGGTCGAATCTTGGATTGTATGAGATAAAGAAAGAGAAAATTATTTGACTCAAAAATTAAAATACATGATAAGAGTTTGAACTTTATTATTTTGCTTGTAGCAATATCGTTTCACTTTCTATCAATGTATCAATTAATGTTGTATATGCTCACTTTGAGACAACATGAATTGATACATAGTATCATAAAGGCTTTTTAAAGTGCACATTTGATTTGATAATCAGCCAAACTATCACTATAGTTGGTAAAAATTAGGGCGTACTGCTATTTGTGAATTTTCCTTGGATAAAAACTAAAATCAAAGCTTGCATTTTGAAGTAGGTGTCTTGGAGTTCTTCCTAATAGTGTGTACTTGTAGAAAAAAAGCTCATGATTCCAAGTAACAACGTAATTAACACTTGGCATTTAGAATTAACATCTACTTGTTTTTAGGGACATAACTACATGGTCCAAGGAGGCTCAATTGGATCTGCTTCATCTGAAAATATGCTATACAAATAGGTCAAGTTACAATCCTTTTTACAAAATCACCTTAACATGAAGTTAGATTAGAGAACTCAAGCTGTAGGTTTAAATCCCAAGTGTGATATTCTTGCAATTTATCATTTATAATTCCTTGATCTGTCATAGCTAGTTGTCACAAATGTAAGAAAAGACAGATGACATATTCACAAAGGCATTCAACTAAGCCAAAACAGAACAGTTCACCTGCAAAAGTGGTAGGGAGATTTTAGCAATGAGTTGAATCAGCAAGCACAAGGCTCCTTACTCAAGTTGGTGGTTCTACGTCTACCAAAATAAGTTTAGCATTGTACTTACTGTACAGGTATTACTATACACAAAACTGTCTTCACTATGTATATAAGCACAACAAAGGGAATGGAGATGGTAATGTAGGAATATTTCCATTTATTCTTCTGTTGGTACAACCTGCAGAGACCGACTGTTTACAATTGCTTCCTTCGACCACCTTCACAGAATTGAGATTTTTCTTCTTCTGCTGCTGCTCCTTTTTGGAGCTCATTACATATCTCAATGCTACTGTGCATTCATCAGCCTAAAACTAACTAGAACTAAAATGGATTTTATTTTCTTTTTTTCTTTTTTCCTTTTACACAACTCAAGACTCGATAAAACGATCACTATGACCTAATTTTCAACTACTGCACTTCGTGCAGCCATTGACTTGGAGATATCTGCTTGTTTCTGAATTGGTTGCGTTGAGTCCCCACTTCGAATGGACCAACTGCTTCCAATCCAGGGTTGTCTTAAGTGCTCCTTTGCATCTACAAGACTTTTGCAATCAATTCTCAGTTGCTCTGGCACTTTGAGCCCAGCAACAAGCTTCTGTTATTATTACAACAATGCCTAACCTGTCAACCTTAATGCCGATTTGTACAAGTTTCAAATCCCTGGATATTAAGACGCTGAAGACGTTTAAGACGACTTATAATCTGCGCAAAAGAGGGGCGCACTTGGGGATCTCTGCAGAAAAGAAGGGCATTAGCCATTTAAAAGAAGAGAAGATACATTCTTTTGGACATGAACACACTGAAAATCATTTGCACATGAAATTGTATCAAAGTTCAATAGGTACTTACTGATTCCAACATTCACTTATAATCTCTGCAACTATGGGATCAACACTTGGAGGAATATCAAGGCGTCTACCCTGAAAACCAACAGCTCCAACAACTTGCATTGAGTTCATCCCTGTCCATGGCACTTGGAGAGTAGTTAACTCCCAGAGTATTACACCAAAACTGTACACATCAGATCTGCAAACCAGACAAACCAAACTCATCTAAGAAAATACAAAACTAATAACCATAACAAAGTTCAGCCTCAAGAACAGTACTATTGAAGAGTAAACTCACTTTTCATTGGATGGTTCATTCCTTAAAACTTCTGGTGCCATCCATTCAGCCTGCAATCAATGGAATACCATTAGTAAATTTGACGGTTTCAGATCTCATCTCTTTGTCAACCTATTTAGACCATAATCTTTGTTAGTTCTTGTTTTTGTTCTCAAAGGGTAGTGGAGATAGGAAAGAGGCCTGGAAAGATGGCATAAACTGAGTCATAAAAAGAGAGCATGCAATCACCGTTCCAGCAGTTGACTTTGAAGAGAGAAATGTGTGGTGCTTCATGCGAGACATCCCAAAATCACAAACCTTCAAGCGTGGAAGAAGCATGGATTATTGGGGGATAAACAGCAGCTTGCTTCTTACAAGTTTTATAGACTACTATTTCAAGATTCAAGTCAGACGCACCTTAACAACCCAATTTTTATCAACCAGAAGATTCGGAGTCTTCAAATCTCGATGCACAATGATAGGGTTGCTTGTGTGCAAGTAATTCATTCCTTTGGCCTACAAGAAGTTGAAACATTAGAAAACAGGAAACTAAAACTGACAAAAAACCTGTGAGGGGTGGGGGTGGGGTGTTCAGCATCAAACAAATACCACATCAAGTGCCATCCGCATACGCTTTTTCTCCTCAATAAGGATATTTGGACGATGCAGTAGCTTATATAAACCTCCCCTGCACCAAAACTACAGATATCAGATACACTGCAGCGGAGAAACACAAAATTGATATATTACTCAATAACAAATGTGATATATTATCAAGTATCTCAGCATCAATGGCAATAAAGCTAGGAGGTATTTCAGATGAGATAGGAGTTTCTTGCACATTTTAAACTGTGTAAACATTTGCTCTCCCAAAAGAAAGATTTGAGAGAACACAAACGTAAAAGATATAAGCCACTACAAACCGACAACAATGCAGAATTTCCTATCACACGAATGGTTTGAAAATCCCATGAGCCAAAATTAGAAAGCCAAGACTAAACATTTAAGAAATGGGCAAACTTCCAAGTGTAGTATGTCAGTAGATGTGCATGTAGCAAAGAGTTCTAAACCTGGGAAGGAACTCAGTCAATATAGAGAGATTTGGGGGACGAGTTACAGCTCCCATGAATAGAACAACATTAGGATGTCTCAGCCTCAACATAATTTCAATCTGCAAAATGCAATACGCACAAAGAGTTCTTAAAAGTTCAGGAGAACTCATAGTACAAAGATATCATTATCATTGTCTAGTTACAACTTACTTCACATTTAAACTGTTCAAGGGCATCACTTGTTATATCCTGATTCATGAATTTCTTCACAGCAACTTCCTGCAATATAGAGAGATTCATTTCATTAAATTAAATTTACAGAAAAAGTGTTAGATAACTATACAATCATTACAGTTAACATTCCAAACCACTCTCATGCTACTGGCACAGACTACCGAGGTGCGGGATGCGAGTCTATTTCTTACATTACTTTTATCAGTTCAAAGTAATGGATGGACAGAGTAATCAGCACATATCAGTTTTATAGGACACCACTAACCACTAACCAGAACAAAGATTTGAGAAGATACCAGAGAACACAAAGACTAGAAAAAAACAAAAAATCTCAGATAGGGCTAAATTAAAATATAGAAAGAGTACCAGAAGTTTTCTATATTTCTGTAGGCATAAAATCTCAGATAGGGCTAAAAGAATGCTAGAAAGCACGAAACCTAAATAAATGTACTAACACGACCAAAGCATATTTCCAACAAATTGATCACCTGTATAAATGTTTATTTTATCTGTTGTGCCCTAAGTTTCGCTAAGTCTGCACGAGACTTCCAAAGAAAATTATAGGTTGTTTACATAACTTCCTTCCACGTGATCTTAGTTGACAAATTCACTTACCATGGTATTACATCTACGAGCCGGTGCATCTAGAAATTGACGCAGGACCTCACCAAACTATCTCAAGCAACCTTTTATTTTATCTTTAGCGCGTGCTACTTTCACTTTTTGGCAAAGGTGGTATACTTTAATCTTGTCTAATCTTGTATGAGCGTATGCATCTCCTAAACACTCATCTTACAGATATGTTGGACTTAAATGGCCCTACATTCACCCCCATATACATTGTTGGTCTTATAAATGTTCTATAGAACTTATCCTTCATTTTGGTAGGCATGTTTCCATCATATAACACCCCGGTAGCAAATTTGCATTTCAACCATCTGATTTGATTTTGTTTAACATCTTCATCTATCATTCCATTCTCGTGGAATGAACCAAGATATTTGAATTGTTTGCTTTTAGACAACCACAATCCCGTCTAATCTCACCTTAACTTCTC